CTCCCATGTTTTAACCCCAAAACCCCAAAACCCCAAAACCCCATGATATTACTATTTCAGTATAATAGATTAGATTAATAATACTAGCAAGGAATAATAATATCAATTTTGCTTTTTTAAAGATTAAAAATTAATGAGATCTCGAAGTTAAAACATGGGAGCAAAGCTTAAATTAACATCACTTACAACTCTGTAACTTGTTATTATGCTCATACTGCTATTGTCTAGTAAGGATTTTAGATTTTAAAACTTAGTAGATGATATTTAGGCTGCTCTTCCTACATAATTTTTGTCTTGGAATTTTTATAAAGTATAAACAAATGGCGACATCTAATAAACAGTAGCTGCCTAAGGAGCTCCTGCACCTGCTTTCAATACATGTAGGACTTTCTGAAGATTATATTCTTTTATTATAAATGATGCTTGAAAATGATATTCATAACAATTTTTTAGAGTTTGGAGTTGTAAATCCTGGTATAATTTCTAAAACTGGACTTCTGTTTGAGACAGATAATGTAGCATGCGCAAATCCCTCTCCTCAATTCAATATCGGAGCTACCTTCACATTTACTGCATGGGTTTACTTAACTGATTTAGTGGCAGAGTAAGTAATATGGTGCAAAGAAATGATATTAGCGAGTTTTGCTGTGTCACATAGAGCATGTGTGAAAATAAAAGGAACTACTATTTGGGCTGGAGTCAATGCAGCTGCTTCATCAGTGGCTGGAACCTTCGTAGAAATAGACACCTTAGTTTACCCTGCTTAAGGATGGAATCATATAGCTGTTGCATTTGATACCACTCCTACGTTTTCTCGAGTTTAGGCTTGGGCTTACAAACCTGATGGTACCAGTTAAACAGGTATTCTAAGGACGTTGTCAGCCTTATTTCTAGATTCGTCAGCTTTTAACTGGTGTATAGGAGCTTATCTACTTTGCACAGGTTGTCCTTCAACAGCCACTTATGGAACTGATAAAGGACTCAAAGGTGTCATTAACAATATTAGAGTATATAACTACAAACTAACAACCGCTCAAATTGCTGGTTCTTTATCTACAACTACTTGTTCAAGTGAATGTATTCTTTGCAGAATTGAGGATAATGGCCAATGCATAGAGACAAATCAATACTAAAAGATGGTTGAAATTGATTTAAATGTTCCTGATTATAGATTAGTCATTGAGGATCAATCGTTAAATAAGAATAACTTTACTGTAAACTTTATCCAAGTCATGTTTATATAATTAGCTAACTGGGGTAGCCACATTTGATCCTTTTTATGTTCATAATCAAGGTCTTTATTTTGGAGGTTCAAACTACATAGTATCAATGACAGCAGTTAAATTTGGAAGAGGGTAAGATTGTAACATGGAATTCATATATTAGGTCATTTTCTACTGAATTTTGGATTAGACCTTATTAAAACCTTGCCACTAGCTAGTATTTAATAAGAAAAGCTACAGTAATTCCTATTTTCAATGATTTTAATGTAGGCTACCAATAGTTTTAATTTCGAAATAGGATTCCAAACATCCTCAAAAGTTGTAATAACACTAAATGGAGCTTCTTAAGTTTTCACTGTAACATATACTAACAGTAATATTATTTCTCAACTAAGTAATATAATTTAGCTGTTGATATGTTTAAGTGGCATTTCCTTTCAGTAGTATTGATCAAATAAGGTACAGCATCTACAAAGCCTTGCTTAGTATTCAATTAAGATGCAATAAACTGTGTCGCTGCCGCAAGTGATTTTACTACTATATATGCAGACTCAGGAACAAATATTATAACATTAGGAACTGGATATACTGGAATGATGAGATTATTCCACGTCTATGATTATCCTAAGTTATTTACTTCTACTCCTTTGTAAATTAAAGCTGGAGCAGCTTGTTCAAAATATAATAGTGTTAGCTGCAGTTATTGTGACAACAATTTTTAAAGGAAATGCTTTTCAAATTGCGGAACAGCGAACTATGGAGAGATCTGCAAATCTTGTGATTCAAAATGCAAATCTTGTTTCGACTCTGCAGTATATAGTTGTTTCTCATGCGATGAAATAACATTTAAGTTTTTTGCAGCTAGCACAACATGCAAGGAGACATGCGGGGATGGCCTAGACTTTGGAACTTATGAATGTGATGACGGAAATGTAGTTAGTGGAGATGGTTGCTCATATTTGTGCAAAGTTGAGCCGGGCTGGTAATGCTCAGGAGGCAATTTAAACACACCTGATACGTGCACTGAAATTTGTGGTGACGGAATCAACTTAGGAACTCTAAGTTGTGATGATGGTAATGCCATAGATGGAGATGGATGCACATCAACTTGTTCTACTGAAACTGGATGGTATTGTGTCAACACAGCATAGAATAGTAAAAGTGATTGCTACGAATTTTGTGGGGACTTATAATATTTTGGGAAAAAGAGTGGAGTATCAAAATCTAAGTTCGCATGTGATGATGGGAATCTTGTAAACGGTGATGGATGTGATGAGTATTGCAGATAAGAAGTTGGTTTTATTTGTAGTTCAACAACTGGGTTGTGTACTGAAATATGTGGTGATGGAATAGCTCATTCAGATGCATGTGATGATGGTAATAATAATTCAGGAGATGGATGTTCATCCACTTGCTAACTAGAGCCAGGCTATACCTGCGTTGCTGAAATAAATGCTTAAATGACTTGTTATCAATCATTTGGTCCAAGCATAACAGGATACAACCTTGCGAGGGATGATACATCTCTTGATATATTTCTCAATGAAACAATATATTTCTCCTATAACTTCGATCTTTCAAGATCTATATCTTATTATATTCTTGGCAGCAGATCCTCTTATGATATTCTGATCTCTTTCACAAATGATGTTGCAACAAACTAGAAAACTCCTACTAATAAATTATCTTTTACATTTTCGATTGCTGATGATGTATAGCTTTTTGGAGATGAGTAAGTTTATAAGTCGGTAATTAAGGAAATTTGTTTAGGTACTTTGTAGTAACATTCGATTAAGAGGATTTCATCAGTTCCTCTACATCTGCACAAATCTTCAACAAGGAGTATAGAGTGCTACTTTGGGGTAGAGAGGTTAAAGGTAATGCTGCATCAGGAGGATTTGGCTATATTCTAATTTTGACCTATATAATTCTGGTAATAATTTGGATTGTGCTTGGACTTAAAGGGTAAATTTTTTAATTAATATCCATAGTTTTCCTATTGCTGGTATATGGCATGTTACCACAGCACTATAACTAGCATAGTACCTGCCAATGACATAATCGAACATGTCTAGCGAGGGAAGGATTATTGGAGAAAATTTCGAACTTATCAATCTTCATACCCAGTTTATCTAATAATTCCTAATGGCTGATTTAGTTGCAAATCCAGAAACTGTCTACAAATACTACTCTTATGGGTATCCCACGTATAATGTCTTCCTACTTATTGTGGATACTGGCTCTATTGCAGGTATGTTAGTTGGAGGCAGTTTTGTTTATGCTTTAATTATGGGAAGACCGAACAAAAGGTAATTAATTTAATCCACAATTTAATTTATTAGTCTACTAAATAAGTATACTGCAGCTAGGATAAAAGAGAGCTTGATCATTTTCATGGGAACAATTGTCTTTAACAAACTCATGTTTTTGTCAATGCTTGGAGCCGGTAATCTTTAAATTGGTGGATCAGCAGCCACAGCAAGTGGAGCAATCTTACTTGTAAAAATATTTAAAGTTTTAATAAAATTAGTGTATTTGCTTAGCATTTTTCGGATTCTAATGTGCATAGTTATTCATCTATAGATCTGAAATAAACGAGGGAAAATCTTCCCCAGCTAAAAGATGGAGAGGATTCTTCGGTTATTTTGGGAATTCTATGATTTAATAAGTATTTTACACAGTTTTTATGGGAGTGAGACTTTTGACCTCTGTTTTTTTCATAGCACTCCTTGAAAATAAGCCTGTATAAATGATTATGCTCCTTCTAATTTAAGCAATTGTAAGTAAAATTAGAAATTAATGCCTCAAATAGTGGATTGGATATATTTTCATAGCTAAGCCATATAAAGAAAAATATTTTAATATAATGGCTCTAATTGATGAAGTAGGAGTGCTTATTTGTATAGCCCTGTTTGCTAATACAATTTTCATTAACAGTGGAATGACAAGGAGTATTCATTCTATTATTGGCTATGCGTATGGTGGAGTCATGATGATAGTATTGATCCTTAACTATCTCTTTACATTCATCTATTTTAAGAAAAGGAATCCCCCAGAAATAGAAATGACTTAAGATTACAGTATGCCTCCTCCAAAGCCTGTATAAGCCTAACCAAAGAAAATTTAATAGCAAGTTAAGCCTGCACCATAGAAAGGAGCTGCTAAACCTAAAAGCATGAAAAAGGATTAGAATGGATTGGATGAAAGTGATGTTGATATTAAAAAACCTTAAAAGAAAGACCCCAATAGTAAATAATAGCCTGCTAAAAAAACTGCTGAGAAACCATAGAGCAAGCCAAACTAACGTAGTAAATCTTAAAACCAACCATAATCTAAACAAAAGAAGCCCTAGCCAAAAGAAGAAGAGTCCTACTATGAAGAGGAAATTACTGAAGACTATGAAGATACTATTGGAAGCGGTGATGTTATCAAAGGTGATAGGCCTGAATATAGAAAACCATTCGGAAATGATGCTCGAGTCTAGGACACATTTGCCGATACCAATACCTCAGAAAATATGTTCATGGGGAGTTCAACAATGAATAATAAGAAAGTAAAGTTCAATTGATTAGATTTAGTTATTTATGAAAATTTCTAGCTTTTATTAGATTAAAATTATTTCAAATTATCAATTGATTTAGAGTTAAGGGGTTTTGGGGTTTTGGGGTTTTGGGG